GCGGAGGGAGCAATAATGCTCAGTGAGGGTGCCCTGGTCTCACTTCCTCATCAATCTGCCCGGCAACCCTCGATGTGACACACAGCAAACATCCTCCCCACCTCCTCCAGACCTCCGCCCCCCCATCTCCACCAGATAAAACTGCACCTTCCAACCACGGATGGCAGCTCAGGCCTGCCACCCCACCCTTGGGAGGCTGGGGCGGGAGAACGCCGCCAGTTTAAAGCCACCACAGGCTACACGGTGGTGACTTCCAGACCGCCCTGCACTAGGGTGAGATCCAGTGTCAAAAAAATAAATAAATAAATAAATAAGATTTTCTGTGTTCCCAAACTGAGTGTGTGGTCCCTTCGGCAACAGGGTCTAACCATCTAGTCACAGAAGGCAGCCAAGAGCAGCAAGGGACCGACCACAGCAACCATGCCCAACAGACACTTAGGTTTTCATTCACTCGACGACCCCTGATGTCTGGGAGCAACGTTGCTTGCTACTGTGAAGTACTTCTGTTTAAACTTTCTTTAGAAGAAAAATATTTTTTTTTAATTAGCTTGCAAACTAATGGAGCATCGTAAGAGTTCTTCCGGCAGACTTAGTTTTGGCTAACCCGCCCCTGCACCTCCTCTCCCTATCCCCCACTTGGGTGGAGCCTTTGGCTCCCAGTGCCCTCCCTGTCCTCCACAGCTGTAAGTCACACTGTCCGCGCTCACTGCATTCTTCACGTGGATTGCCAAGGTCACAGGCTCTGAAGTAGCTGCTTCACCGACGCCCCGACTCGCTCCCCGCCACCCCTGGACAGCTGTTTGAGCCCTTGCCCCCCACATGGTGTTCCCTATCTCCACTTCCGCTCTGGCTACATTCTACTGTCCCCCTTCCCTAAATGCGCCCTCCCCTCGCTTCCTTTTTACTTTCCTATCCTCCATATGTACTTCCTGTTAAACACGTAAGATCTGAAGTTAGAACCTTCATATGAGAATCTGCAGTGTTTGCCTTTACTTGGTATAATTCTCTTTCCGGCTCCATCCATTTACCTGCAGATCTCATGGTTTCAGTTTTCTTTACACCAATATAGCTGAGTCACATAGTAAACCTACTTATAATTTTAAGAAGCCTCCAGGCTCACACAAGTTTACACACCTACCAACAGAGATGAAGATTTTTTTTTTTCATAATGCTAGGAGGTCTGTGCAGGGAGCCTGGGGAGAAAAGACATCGCTTTCTCCAGCCTTGAACCCCTAGTGCCCACTGGTGCACATCTGTGACAAGATTGCTCTTCGTTGAATGGAAGGCCCGTTCCTCAGGAGGGAATCCACACCTGGTACTGCAACCACGGTCAACACACGGGACACCATGGGAACTAGAGGAGGGCCTACTGATGTTGGTTCCTAAATGTTCATGTCGTCGACTGTCTTCTGAATGTCAATGCTTCTATCCACAGATCTGGGCAGCTCTCAACCTCGGCCAGAAGCTTCTTACTGCAGTGGCTTAGTGGTTAATGAAGAGACGCATGGCTGCTCAGAGTGCTGAGAATCCGTCACTAAGAGCGCTCAGCTGTACATGAACACCAACCCCTCCAAAACTCAGGGAACATGGTGAAAGAGGGGAGAGAAAGAATGTAAGAACTGGGGGGTGGGAGGGGTCGCTGCCCTCATGACAGGGCTATTGCACGCACAGTTCACAGCAGCTGTGCTTACTTACAAAAGATCTGTACAAGATCTATCCAGGCAGTTAAAAATTCCAGCAAGGTTTGGGGAGGGGCTCTAAAGACCCCATCCCCAGGTGAAGAGCTATTAGCAGTTGCTGGCTTCACGGGAAGGAAGACTCATTTTTCTTTAGGCCACTGGCAGGTTCACTACGCCCTGGCAGATGAGTCTACAACCGTTTATGTATGGCAACATTAACTGGGCTCAGTGAATTAAAAAAAATAGGTAAGTGAAGGCCTTTAATCCCAGTATTTTGGAAGGCAGAGTGAGTCTGAGGTCAGCCTGGTCTACAGAGCGAGTTCCAGGGCAGGACAGCCAGGGCTACACAGAGAAACCCTGTCTCAAAATGGAAGAGGGAGAGAATATGAATATGAAGCCAAGCGTGATGGCAAATGCCCAAAACTCCAGCATTTGAGAAGTAGAAGCAGGAGGATAAGGTGTTCAAGATCCCTCCCCACACCCCACCACCACCACCAAAAAAAAAAAGGTAGAAGGGAGAGAGGGAAGAGGGAGGGAGGGAAGAGGGAAGGAGCTAGGGATGTAGCTCAGTAGATAGAGCATCTACCTAGCATGCGTAAGCCCTGGGTTTGATCCCCAACACCAAATAAAACCAGACATGGTGATGAATGATTCTAATCTGAACACTGAGATAGAGGCAGGAAAATCCAAAGTTCAAGGTCATCCTCTGCTACATAATAAGCTGGGAGGCCAGCCGGGGATACGTAAGACACTATCAAAAAGGTAAAAGGTGTGTGTGGTGGGGGGGTGGCCTTTAAAATACACAAACCAATGAAAGCTAACTACCATTCCCTCCCGCCACTCTTCCAAACTTCCCCTCAGATAAGTGAAGAAATAAGAGAGACCACAGCAGAAGTCTGAGCCAGCAGGAGAACGGACTTAATCAGCCACAATGACCTTTCCTTGGGTACCTCACTTTTGCTCACCACCCAGCCTACCTGCCCAGCCAATGAGTTCAGGGACTGAAATTAGCTATGAAGGATCTGACTGCAAGGGGAAAAAAAAAAAAAGCACATAACACACTGCCCTACCCCCACCCTGGTCCTGCAACCTTTCTCTACTCGCTTGTCTCTGCTAACAACCTTGCTAGGTACCCACACCTCATCCCTGGCTTCCCCTGTTCATCTCTGCTTACCCCCTTCTCTCCCTACCCTGAGCTTCTGTTTACATAGTCCATCTTCTCTGTCCTAAGAACTGGACGCAGGTCAGACCCAACCTCATAAAACATGGAGATGCTTCATAAAGGCATTGCCAATCCAGTTCCCACCCTGAGGGTCTCCTCTCCCAATCTCTGAGGTCTCTGTCCTCACCACTGATGTAAGGCCGACATTCCCACTGCCCTTTTGTACTGGGTCCAATTTGTAACCCTTCCACAAGCAGGTATTTCCATAACGACCTTCTGAAGGGGTCACTATCAGCACTGCACAGAGAGGTGAAATAGCTCCTCGCCCAAGGCTGCACAACTGGAAGGAGGCAGATCAGAGAAGCGAAATCATGTGGTCCAGCTCCAGAACCCAATCACTTAACCAGACCTGTTCTCACTGGCATTTTACTTTTAAACCCTCTAACCAGGCATCACCAACAAAATCTTTCTTTCTTTCGTTTCCCAACAAGATTTTTGTTTTGTTTTGTTTTGTTTGTTTGTTTGTTTGTTTTGAGGCAGGTTTTCTCTGTGTAGCTCTGGAGCCTGTTGTGGAACTCACTCTGTAGACCAGGATGGCCCCGAACTCACAGAGATCCACCTGCTTCTGCCTCCTAAGTGCTAGGATCAAAAGCATGCATAGACACACCAGACCCGATTTTTTTTTCAATCTTTTTGGTTTTTTTGAGTGAAGGTCTCATGTAGCTCAGACTGTCCTCAAATTCCTGACCTTCCTGCCTCTACTTCACAAGTGCTGGGATTAGTAATGTGTCATAATGTATCACCATACCCAGAGCACACAGGGCTAGGAGTCAAATTCTGGTTGTAGCATATGCTAGGCAAGCACTCTGTCACTCAGCTACATCACCAGACTTCAACATCAATTTTGGAAGTGTTACTCTGCCCTCGGCAACAATGGATCAAAAGGGACTCTGAGTTTTCTCAAGTGTTTTCAAGGAAAGTAGACAGCCAGGTGCGGTGGCTCACACCTGCGATCCCAGTATTTGCGAGACTGAGACAGGACTGTGTCTAGTTCGATGTCAACATGGGCATCTGAGTGAGTTAAAGGCCGTCTTGGACTGCTCAGTGAGATCCCGTCTTAAAAAATAACAAGGGCAAAGGGTCCTGTCTGGATTTCTCGATCTCTTGTCTCCCTTCATGACGTCAACAAACATATACTGATCTCCTACAAACAAGGTTCCCTGCCTCGACTTTTGATCGGCGGGCATAGGAGTCAAATCAGTTTCTTGCTCAACTAGCTTTACAACTGGATTTTAAGTAAAGGAATAAAGGAATGCAGGGCCTGATCCTGTCCCGTCTCATCGCCCGACTTGCTCCCTCCATCGAGGCCCACAAGGAGCTGCCTTGCTCTTCCTCTGAAGGGATCCTTCCCTTGAATTTCTCTCCAAGGTGTCTCCTGGTCTTTTTCTTTTCTGAGTTGGTCCTTCCTTGACAGCCCGCGGTGACCCCCACACACTGTAGGAATAACTTTACGTCTCTAAGTCTCCTCAGGAGAAACCCCATGGGGGCCAAGTACTCACGGATCTAGCCAAGCCCCGAGCCCCAGGCCGCCGCAGCAGCAGGAGAGCAGCCTGGCCCAGGCCCCGGCTCTGCCTCCACATTTTGGCCATAGACATCGCTACCGCCATCTTGCTTAATATCCACGCCTCCTTTCTCACAAGCTAGACTTAGGGCTGCCCCATCAGATGCCATATTCAAATATCAGCACAATTAGGCCAGTAAGCGACTGAACTCCAACCGCCCTGCATCAAAGACACAAATGTATGTTCATGTGGCGATCATTATTATCTAAAATTGCTCCAGCCTTCTGCTTATAGTTGCTCCAATACCAGGCAGGAAAAGGACAACCTGACTAGAGGCTCACGGGTTTAGGGCCCGGGGGCCTTGGGCAAGATGGATCTGGTCCAAGACCCGCCCCCTATCCTTTGTTGTCCAATGGTTTTGCCAGAATTAGGAGGTGGAGGTGGGCGGGACCAGATTGTTTGTAAACGTTCTGCCACGTGCGAAGGCCAATTCAGGAGCGCCCCAGACTGGCGCGTGCGCAGTAGTTACGCGGCCGGTACGAGCGCGCTCGCGCGTGCGCGCGCGCGAGGCTGGGCGGAAGCTACGGTAGGAGCCGCGGCGGCGGCGTGGTCGGCGGCTATGGAGGTAGCAAAGCGTGCGGACGCCAAGGGAAGCACTGACACTGAAACAGACTCCAGCCCTCGAAGTGCAGGCTGCAGCCTCCGGCATTTTGCTTGTGAACAAAACCTGCTGTCCCGGCCGGATGGATCTGCTTCTTTCCTGCAAGGTAAGAGCCTAACCAAGTTTAACTGCGCGCGCCATCCTCACCGGAGTGGGGTTTTCTGAAGAGCGGTGACCGTGTAGTGTGCAACCGAGTGCGCCCATCTCCTTGAAAAGACTGTTTCTAGATACTGGGGGTACACACCCCTCCCGCCTCGAAAAGACATGATACGTCCAGACTGGAAGGAATCGGGGCAACACCACCCTAGAAGCGTAAATATTCCCGAATAGGTGTAATTTCACCAAGGCAAATATTCCTCTTGATGGATTTCCTTCAACACGCTTCTTCTGGATCCATACACCTCCGGTTGAGGCTAAGGTGTTCATTTGCATACATAACCCCTGTCATCACCACTGGTTTATATGTAATTACTGTAGCAGATGAATTATCCAAGTTGAACGTGATAGTGGAGCACCTTTAAAACTTCCAAAAGGTAAGTTCCAGACACATCTGACTTCACAGTCTCACAGTCTGGTGAGTTTATAGAAACCACAGAGCCCCTTCCCCACCCAGGCACAATGGCAAACATTGCAAACTAGTGGGTATGATGATCACAAAATGAAAACCATTGCTTTGTATTTCTGCATTAGGATTCAGTTGCTGAGATTAAGGGCCATGACCAAAAGCAACTTGGGAAGAAAGGATTTGTTTGGCTGACATATCCCAGTTCTTAGTCCACTGAGGGAAACCGAGGCAGGAACTGAAGCAGAGACCACGAAGGAACCCTTTCTTCTCGTGGCTTGCTTAGCCTGCTTTTAAATACAACCCAAGACACCTGCCCAAGACACTTCCTGCAGTGAGCTGGGCCCTCCCATATCAGTTAATCAGTTAGATGCCCCTGCAGACTTAGTCTGATGGAGGGATTCCTTCCTTTCAGATCTGTCTAGCTTGTTCTGAGTTAACAAAACTAGCCACATAGTATCTTAACTTACAAACAATTAAAAACCAGGCACATTCCCCAGGAAGGTAGAGACAAGAGGATTGATTCAAGGCCAGGTCCACCCAGCTACATAGAAAGCTCAAGGCCAGCTTAGACTGTATAGGGCCTGATCTCAGAAAATCTAACCATGAAAACCTACAGAGCCCAGGAGCCTATCAACTGCCTTTGTTGCTAGCCATCTTGTGTTTTGTTGTTATTGTTTGTTTGCTTGCTTGGTTTTTGTTTTGTTTTTTGCTTTGAACTTTGCACATGCTAGCATCCCTGACCCCTTGGTTTTTTGCATTTTTTTTTTTTTAGTAGATCTCCCTGGTGCCTGAGGAGGTCAAAAGAGTATGTTGGGTCCCCTGGAACTGTAGTTACAAATGTTTGTGTGAATCATCCTCTGCAAAATCAAGCAATGTTCTTCTTAATTGATGAGTCATCTCTCAGCCCCAACCTGTGATTCACTTATACACATGCATGTATCAGTTGGGAGTTGTGGTGTAAAGTGTGTTGGTTATTGGGTATTACGGTCAGAAACTTGTGGAAGCCACTGGGTGCAGCGTCTTCTCTTTGTAGATGGCCTCTCTGTAGCCCACAGAGGTTATCAAAGTCACACAAGGGCCAGGAATAGGCAATCTGGGCTAGAAGCCAGTCTTTTTTCTCCAGACCCATTTATATCGGATCTGGGAAAATGAGCAGAAATTAAGAGCCCTACCCATCGCAACTATAGACCCTTGGGTTTTGTTGTTGTTGTTTTGATTGATTTATGAGATGGTCTCCTGTAGTTCACAGTGGCCTCAAACTCACTATGGAACCAAGGATGACCTTGAATTCCTGACCCTCCCTCCTGTCTCTGCCTCCCAGAAGCTGGTGTGTGTGTGTGTGTGTCTGTGTGTATCTGTGTCTGTGTGTCTGGGTGCCCATGAAGGATAGAAGAGGGTGTCGATCCCTTGGAGCTGAGTTACAAGGTGATTATGAGCAGCCTGATATGGGGATTACATTCTAGGCCTCTGGGAGAGCATTATGAGTGCTGACCCGCTGAGCTATCTCTCCGTACCCCAACAACTTCTGAACTTACTCTACTGCCTGAAGTCTGGGGTGGGCTCTGTACATACTGAACAGCATCCTGTATTTGAAGAACACTATCTTTTTAAATTGGTATTTATTTCACATTCTTATGTCGAGAGGCTCTAGGCTTCTGCAAGCCGTTGTTGTGTGACCCTTACAAAAGTGCCACGAGGGAGGGCCTACTGTATGTAGTCCCCACCTAAAGATGGGAAGACAGAAGAAAATCTGCATGATGTGGCAGAGGCCTCCGATGATGTCTCCCCAGGTGACACCTCTGTCCTGGCTGGAGTGTACGGGCCAGCCGAGGTGAAGGTCAGCAAAGAAATCTTCAACAAGGCCACACTCGAAGTGATCCTGAGGCCGAAGATCGGGCTGCCTGGTAACCAGACTCAACCAAACCTCTAAAGATCCAGTCTGTTAGGACCTCACGAGACTCCCCGCCGCTTGCTGTGTCCCATCGCCACCGCCCCGCCCACCTCCCTCTTTGCCCAGCTCTTGCCTTGTGTTTTTAGTCTTTGCTGTACTGGGAATGGAATCCAGAGCCTCACTCCTGCTAGACAGATGCTCCAACCGGGAGCCACTCTCCTGGGCTCTCACTGGTGGACTCTGGTCAAACCCTCTTCTGCTAAGGTCCTCACTGCTGGGCTCCAGGCGGACATTCTGGTACTGGGCCACGCCACCAGCCTTTTACTTTTTGAGACGGGGTCTCAAGGCTGGTACTGAGCTCCCTGTAGCCTAGGTTGCCTTCAAATTTGTGATCCCCCTGCCTGAGCGTCTCAAGTCCTGAGGTTACAGACCAGTACCACCACCAGACTGTTTCTTGCTTTTCGGCCCCTTTACTGCATGTCCCTATGCACGGTAGGATGGGCCTGCTCTGGCAGGGTCAATGTGGCCAGTAGCACAGGACATGGGCACTTCTGGGTATTCCTCCTTGGGTGGCTGGTGGACCCTTGGAAAGTTTCCGGCCCTACCTTCTTTTCCTGGGAGTGTGCACACCATCCCGGGCTGAGACAGCCAGCTCCTTCCTGAAGTCTCCCTCCAGAGACTGGATTGAGCAGCACACGATGATGGGATGGAAGGGAAGCTCTGATGACAGCCAGCCCTGTGTCTCCCCAGGCGTGGCTGAGAAGAGCCGGGAGCGGCTGATCAGGAACACATGTGAAGCAGCGGTCCTGGGAGCCCTGCACCCACGCACCTCGATCACGGTGGTGCTACAGGTGGTGAGCGACGCCGGCTCCGTATCCTTTCCTGGCCCGGGACCTCCCTGTGGCTTCCCTTCTGGTGACCCTGTAACACACCCTCAGCCACGCAGAACCGGGGCCAGCAAGCTGGTTCAGTGGGTAAAGGTGCTTGCCGCCAAGCCTGACGACCTGAGTTCAGTCCCCAAGACTCCTGTGGTGGAAGGAGAGAACCAGTTCCTGCAAGTTGTCCTCTAACCACCATGTGAGCACCAGCAGCACACGCCTGTGCACGTGCACATGCACACACACACGAACAAATGACCTGTGTGCCAGTCACTCAGGCACTTTGAACTGTTGTCACTTAGTTCTCACAGAACTTGTACTGGGTAGCATTGTAATTCCTGTGTAAATCCCAAGGCATGTGCTCAGGCTTTCTGGTTTGGGGAGAGCCCAAGGGCTCCAGCATGTGTGTTTCTCATGTTCCATGTTTTGGGTGTCTTGCCCAGGATGACGGCAGCCAGAATGCTGCAAAGGTAGGAACTCAAGCTCAGGCCTGTCCAAGCCCAGAGCCTGGGCCAATGACGACTTCTCTGTAGCTTGGCGGGAGTTCCTGGCTCTTTGCTGGGGGAACGCCAAGCACGCAGAATGGTCATTGGCTCCATTATATAGCACGGTAGTTGCCCACTAGATTCCCAGGTGGTGGGCCTGGCTTTGCCAGTGTCTTCCCTGTGTGACTTTGGGACCGTTTCGGTAAAGATTTTTTTTTTTTCCGAGACAGGGTTTCTCTGTGATAGCACTAGTTGTCCTGGAACTCACTTTGTAGACCAGGCTGGCCTCAGACTCACAGATCTCCTGCCTCTGCCTCTCGGGTGCTGGGATTAAAGACGTGGGCCACGCCCCCCCCAGCCCCTGCCCAGCTCACTAAAGATACCTTGTACATCCTTTAGTGGTATGTATTGGTTCCCTGGCATCATCTCATTTAATACAGGGAGCCTGGGACTTAGAGAAAATCAGTTGGCCTTATAGCTGGAGGGAGGTGATTACGCCCAGCATGGAGCAGCGGCAGCTACCTGGTGCCAGAACCACTTAGCCAGCCACCTTGCCACGCTGCTGCTCTGTGATCAATTAGCAGCGTCTGCCACGGGCATCAGCAAGTAGAGGGAAGTGTGGCTGTGTTGTGCTGGCCAGTCCCACAGGAGACACTCTTCTTAACCACTGTGATGCTCAGCTCTTGGCCTGTTGCCTGAATGCTGCCTGCATGGCACTGGTGGATGCAGGTGTGCCGATGCGGGCTCTCTTCTGCGGGGTCAGCTGTGCCCTGGACTCAGATGGCAATCTCGTGCTGGACCCCACGACCAAGCAAGAAAAGGTAGGCGGGGAAAGTTAACAGTGAAGCGATGCGGCCTAGTTGGTCTGCGTGCCTCCAGGCCCCGCCTTCTGCGAGTCACGTGGCTCGTGCACCCTGACCCATTGGGCAGGTTCTGCCTCGTTCATCAAGGTTCATTCAGCTTGAAGTGCTAGACAGCCAACCCACACGTGCACAAGTCAGGAAAGAAACTGGCTTGCTAGCACTCATTACCCAGCTGTAGAACGGACCTCCCTCTGGTTCTTGTGCCCTGCGCTGGAGGATGACACTTTGGGAAGCACGTTGTTCTTGGCACTTGTCAGGGAGGGTTTGATGCAGGAAGGGCCTCAACAGTGCCTCCTCCCGGAGCCGCTGGGAGAAGGAGATGCAGTGCAGGCTGGGCCCCAGCCCGGGGCCGCCGTGGTGGCATCGAAGTTGGCTGCACTCATACACACAGGGAAGCTCAGGGGTGGCCTTGGCTGTGGAAGCTCAGAACCCACTCACCTCCGTGGCTTTTATTACCACTGCTGCTGTGAGGGTGGGGGCCGGGGCACTCATCTCGGGGCTCCCTGGGCTCCCCTCAGATAACTGGGAAAACCTAATGGCGAGGGAGTCGTGGGGACTGGCTCACTGGCTTGACTGCAGTACAGAGCTGGGAGGGGAGAGTGGGCGGCGGAGAGGCAGCCAGAAAATGACCAGCACTGTGGCTCCCCCTGTGGGACACAAGAACTGTGGTCAGATTGAAAACGAAGGGAAACACTTAACCCAGCGTGGCGTGGTGTGAGACAGTTGTGGCTGGCCTAGAGGCTAAGGGTCCACTTACTGGCTGAGACCTTACAGAGGAGGGTCCCAGGGCACTTACGTCTCCCACCTCTTGCTCCTAGGAGGCCCGGGCCATCCTGACCTTTGCTCTGGACAGTGTGGAGCAGAAGCTACTGATGTCCACCACCAAGGGGCTCTATTCTGACGCCGAGGTACCAGTGTGGGGGTCGGGGCACAATCCAGAACCTTCTCTCCCACCAGCATGTCATCTTGCCCCAGCTCACAGCGAGCCTTTCTTTGCGTCCTTGTTGGGTGGGTGGGTATGTGTTCCGGGCTTAGTTCTCAAAGTGCTTGCCTGGCACTCAAGAGGTTTCGAGGCACAGGTTTAATCTCTGGCATAGCGGAGTTCAGGGCCAGCCTAGTCTACATGGAGAGTTCTAAGCCAACCAAGGCAACATTGTGAGATCCTATTTTAACAAGCAAAAAAATAAAACCAGAAGGTTTCTCTAGCACTTTTAAAGGAACGCCTGAGTGACATCAGAAAACATGAGTCAGCTCCGGATGAGGTGGTACATCTGTCTTAAGGTCCCCAGTCATCAGCACAGAACAGTGCCACCTAGCATTCTGAGTTACCAAGGGACAGGGTTTAGAAATTTGGTCCGTACCTGTATTTCTTCTTTGCCCCTGTGTGGTGGTAAAAGATTTTGGTTTTTGAGACAGGGTTTCTCTGTGTAGCCCTAGTTGCCCTGGAACTTGCTCTGTAGACCAGGCTAGCCTTGAACTCACAGAGACCCACCTGCCTCAGCCTCCTGAGTGCTGGAATCAAAGGTGTGTGCTGCCGCCACCATCACCACCGCCCGGCAGCTGTAAAGATTTAAATCTCTAGTTTCATGGCTCTTGCAGTTACTTGGATTGGGCATGGTGGCTTACAGCTGTGGTCAAAGCCCTTAAGAACCTGAGGCAGGAGGACTGCTGTGAGCTCCAGGCCAGCCCAGACTGTATAGTAAAAACTCGTCTCAAAAAGGGAGAGGTGAGCTGGGTGGCGCACGCCTTTAATCCCAGCACTCGGGAGGCAGAGGTAGACGGATCTCTGAGAGTTCCAGGACAGCCTGGGCTACACAGAGAAACCCAGTCTCAAACAAACAACAAAACAAGAGATAAAACTCCCGGGCTGGGAAAACAATTCTGAAATTAAAGACTTGCTGCCAAACCCGACCGCCTAACTTTTGTCCCCAAGACCAGTGTGGTGAGAGGAGAGAGCCAGTTCCCTAAATTGTCTTCAATCTCCACAGGGCATGTGTTTTCTCGAGGGTGTGCACGCACAAACAGGCATGCACACGCTGGAAATTACTAAAGAGAGGGAAGCAAACTTAGAGGGCCTGAGGATGTGGCTTTATCGGTGGAGAGTTTGTCTAGGTTGCATGAGACCCTGGGTTCCATCCCCGGTGCCATATAAAACCAGGGCTAGTGGTGTACTTAGGAGACTGAGGCAGGAGGATTGTTCAGGTCCCTTCTGTGGATGTCTCATTACAGGTGTGCACCACCACCCTTATGGGGTGGGAGTTAGGAGGTGACGAAGAAGGAAATAGCCCTTGTGGTGGGGAGTAGCCCTGGGTGGGCGCTAACTGTTCTCTCCCTTCCCAGCTCCAGCACTGCCTAGCGGCTGCCCAGGCTGCCTCACAGCACATCTTCCGTTTCTACCGAGAGTCACTGCAGAGGCGCTACTCCAAGAGCTGAGATGAGCCAGCGCAGGGAGCCCCTCACGCCACCGCCTCCAGCTGCCACTTGACAACGCCTCACTCCAGCTCTCGTGTGGCTACCAATCCTATAGCAGCAGGGGCTCCTGTGCCAGGCCGGGAGGGGCTCAGGGACATTTCCAGACCTGGACACAACCCTCCCATCACCAGGACACCATTAAAGGGAGCTCACCTGTGTAAAATGAGGGAGTCAACAGCCGCTGATTCTGATGTCTGGCAAGCACCCATTCATTAGGCCTGCTGGGTGCGGGGAAGCTGGCTCTGAACGAGAGCCCCAGGTCCCATGTTCCAGGGCAGAGATAGGTGTGTTGGTGCGCGCCAACAGTCCTGCCGCTTGGCAGAGACTGTCCTCTATTTTCTAAAAGGAAGGTGATCTGGAGAGGGCTCAGCAGTTAAGAGCACTTGTTGCTCTTTCAAAGGGCCCGAGATCAGTTCCCAGCATGCGTATCAGGCAACGCACGACCGCCCGCAACTGCAGCTTTTGGGGATCCATGTCCTCTTCTGGCCTCTGGGCATTTCTACACACAGACAAAATTGGATCTAAAGGGGGCGGGGAGCAGTCTCAAGGGGTAGTAAACGCTATCGGGACCCTTCACAGGTAAGGGTAGTGCAGCTAAAGATATCCCTGAAGGAGGAAGGCGCAGCAGCGAGCTTTTAGGTAACAGGGAGAGCCCCAGGGATGCAGGGAGGGGCAGACATCGCATGGGGCCTGGAGGGCCATACCCAGCACCGCCATGAGATGGGGCTGATCCAGTCCTCATTTTCAGAGGACAATCAGAAGAGCCCTGAACCTGTGTGAGGTCATCAGCTAGCAAGCAGAAAAAGACCAAAGAGCCATAAGACCTGTCCCAGATCCCTGGCCGTTCAGGTCAACACCAGCATGCTGGGAGCGCCTGTAAACAAGCCATTGGGGCCCGGCCAGCGCACCTTCCCACACTCTTGGTGCGGAGGGCTGGAGCCAAGCATTGGGGATTTCTGTGAAGACTAACTCCCACAGCCTGTCAGCATGGGGCTAAATCAGGGGTCCCCAGACAGTTTCCACGGGTTGGGCCCATTGTGCCTTGTACGCCACCTGCTAGACCTGCCTCACACACTCTCCACCCTCCTCCACCTGGATACCCTGATAGCCTCGAAGGGAATATGCAGGTGTCTTTAGCTTGGAGTTTTGCCCTCGCAGATGCTGGAGAGTCAGTCATCTTGGGAAGGAAAGTGTTTGGTCTCTAGATGATTTGAGCTGTCAGGATTCTTCCTTTCCCAAGAGGAAGCTATGCTCATATCACTGAAGCCCGGGTAGGATACTTTGTTGCATTTTTCATGTCTGTTTTGGTGGCTCAAAGACTTACTTTATTCTTCAAGATAGTCTCACTATGTAACCCTTGACTGCTTGGAACTCATGTAGATCACATTGACTTGGAGCTGACAGATCCGCCTGCCTCTGCCTCCCTAGTTCTGGGAGTAAAGGTGTGTGCCATCACCCCGAGCTGGCTCTGGGGTTTGAACTCAGGGACTTGTAAATTCTGAAAAAGCCGGGTACTGGTCAGCCATGCCCCTGGCCCTCTTCACCACCACCACCACCCTCACCACCACCACCCCACCCCCGCAACTGGGTTTCTCTGTGTAGCCCTGGCTGTCCTGGAAACTCACTATAGACCAGGCTGGCCTGTTCTCTGCCTCCTGAGTGCTGGGAGGCAGCAGCATATTTTGTATGTTGTCTCAGGGTCTTGCTAAGCTGTTGAGGCTGGCTGTCTTCCCTCACAGTCCTGATTTAAACTGTTACCTGTTAGGCAAGGAACTTGTGATCTGCCTCAGCCTCCTGAGCTGCCAGCCCCCAGGTCCAGCCTACCACCACAGTTTGCTTCCCTATCCTTTATAGACAACTGGATAGCTTCTCCATCTGCTGTGGGAAGGGCTCGGAGGAAAGCAGCAGGCTACCACACACGGCTAGGATGCTTTGGGCTCTGCTCAGCCAGAGGGAGGGGTTGAGTGAGAGACCTGGAAGACTGGCCATCATTCAACTGCTACTGCTGTGGACAGGAAAAGCCTGCAGTGTCTCGCCCCAAGCTCTGGTCTGGGGTCTGGTGTCAGGCACAGCCTCTTAACTTTGCTGGTCCTTCCTGCTCTGGTACCCACACCATTCCACCCTGGAACACCCAAACACAGACGGACTCGGTTTGGCTTCGGGATCTCTTTAATCTCTCCCATTGTTTCCTTCTGGGTGGGGTGGCCAGGAAAGCAGCGGACTCTCATTTCTGGATTCTGTGGTCCTCGCCATCACCATATACGCGGAGATCATCCATTCCTCTCACGGGTTCACTGGGCCTCTGGCCTCTGCATTCACAGTGGGGGCCGGAGGGCAACTAGGGCGGGGCTCGGGAGGCAAGGTAGGCAGCCAAGGTCACCAGGGCAGCGGCGTATGTGCACAGGCCCAGACCCACGGCCAGGACCCCCAGCAGGAAGGCACGGCGGGAGGTGGCCCCTGCCCCTTGGATGTCCCCCTTGGCCCATGCCTTGTTGGTCTGTAGAGGCAGTGGGCAGTGGTAACCAAAGTGTCCCCCCCCACACACTCCACCCTGCCTCCTGTGGCTCCCCCAACCCCAGCATAACTAACTCAGCTATTCCAAAACCATGGGTGGCACGGACCTTTAATCCCAGCACTTGGGAGGCAGAGGCAGGCAGAGCTCTATGAGTTCAAGAACAGCCAGGGCTACCTACACAAAGAAACCTTGTCTTGGGGAGAAAAAGCAATGTTTCCAGATGCCACTATTTTTTGCCATTATTTTTAACTCAGTTGATCTGCACACTGACCCTGAGGTAGGGGCTATTTCCATTACTAAGAAGGGAAACCAGTGTGGCGTTCACTAGCCTCCAGTCCAAGGCCTCCATCAGCACGCTGGGGTCATGACATGTGGCTTGGTTCCCCCTCCTAGCTTCCCACCTCCCTTTATTTGTACTTTGTTTTATTTTTTCTTTTGATGCAAAGAAAGGCTCAGGTAGCCCAGGCTGGCTTGAATTTAGATATTCTTGCCTCCTCCATGTGTTGGCCATCCAACTTCGTGCTTGTTAGGCTGAGCAGTCTGCCTCAGCCTCGTTCCCTTGTTTTTGCTCCTTTTGAGACCTCCTCAGACGGCCTGGGGTCACAGGCCATGGCCGCCACGTCAGGTTACACCTCTGTGTGTCTTCTGTGGGTGTTCCTCTCCAGCCTCCCGCCCTGCCTTAAGCACAGCATGGCCCCCTCGGTTCTTTTTCCCTTTTGTTAGCCCAGCACCCTCCCAGTCCCAAACACAGACTAACCTTGTGGGCCAGGCAGAAGGCAGCGATGCCCACGGGCCAAAAACAACACAGGACAGAGAAGACCGCCAGGCCGAGATGGTCATGGGGCAGAAGAGGTGAGAGGCGGTCGCCCCCCTCGTAATCTGAGTCACTGTCACTGGATGATGTGTCCTATGGACAGGAGAGAGTCTGGGTGGTATAACCCCACCCACCTTTCCTGCGCCATCACCTCTGTGGACCAGTGCTCCCCTGGGGCCTCCCCAGAGATTAAGAAAAAAAAAAAAAAAAATTCAACAAGGTAGGCTTTAGGCTTCTCTGTCCACTAGATCCCAGGAGGAGAGGCTGTGGATCCTGGGAGTCCTCAAAGACACCCACTCCCAGCGTGCTGAGTTCATTCTCGAGGGTCCAACTATGAGGAGATTGCTTGTAATCCCTGAATGGGGGCAGACGTTACCTTAGGTGCGAGAACATGCAAAGGGGATAGGGATGAAAGATGCCCCAGGGCCCTGAGTTGCTAGGACAAGCCTGCCAACCAGCACTGATCTAAAGTCAGGGGTGCATGCAATCCCAGCACTCGGGAGGGAGAGGCAGGCGGATCAGAAAACCTACCTGGGTTACAAAAGACTGGGGGGGGGAGGGGGAGACACCAGAATCTTTCACTGTTACCTCCAGGCAGTTTGGCAGAAGCAGACCAAATACCTGCTATAAAGCGGTGCCTTCGCTCTAGGCCTCCGAGTAATAGTAATAGATCCTGACAATGCCTTTTTTCCCAAACAATATGACTAACACACAGTCAAATATACCAGACACAAATGTGAGCAGGACCAATCAGAGACTGGCGGGGTGTCCCCCACCCCTCATGCTTGTTTTGATTTTAGACGCTCTTACTGTATTGCCCCTGGCTGTTCTGTAAAGCTGCATGCTTCAACCTCTCGAGGGCCTGGAATATAGGTACATACTAAGCCTAGATGCAAGTGATTTCTTTTTTTAAAGACAAGGTCTCTTTTATGTAGCCTCGGCTGTCCTGGAACTCTAGACCAGGCTGGCCTCAAACTCATAGAGATCCATCTGCCTCTGCCTGGGATTAAAGGCATGGGCCAAGACCTCTTCCTCCAAAAGTTCTTTGGACCTTGTGACTGACGCCCCTCCTCCACCCCCCAGCAGCTGTGGGGTGGGTTCTCCCTGCTCTTGAATCTGGGCAGGTTTTCAACTGGTCCTTAACAGAATGTCATATGGTAACTGTACAAGATTTCCTAGGAAGAGGTGACATAAATCAGGTTCAGTCCCAAGAACTGGAAGTTCAAACCTTGTCTGGCCTGTAGAGTGAATTCAAAGTCAGCCTGGACAATTTAACAAGACCCAACCTCAAGTAAAACGGGAAGTCCGGGGCTGATGGCTCCTGCCTCTAACCGCAGCTCTCGGGAGGTGGAGGCAGGAGGCGCAGAAGTTCAGGGTCCTCTTCAATTCGTTACCTGGTGAGTCTGAGGCTAGCCTGGCCTACTCGAGACTGGCCCACAAAAGACACAAGCCAGGAGGATGGTGCAGGCCCCCAGTTCCAGTCATCAAAAGATGAATGTGAGCTGAGGAGCTCACGGCCAGAATGAAGAGCAAACCTTGTCTCTTAAGAGAATTGAGGTGTAAAAATAAAATGAAAGACCTGTTTCTCGATATGAGCAAGGAGTAGGACATAAAAAGGTGACTTTAAGGTGGCCATGGTGGCACAAACCTGTAACTGCGGCATTCCTGGAAGCTGGGGTGGAAGGACGGATTTAAGGCCACCCAGAGATACAGACCTTGCCTCAGAAAAGGGGGAGTGGGGGCTGGAGAGATGGCGCAGTGGTTATTGCCCCTGCAAATGACCCGCGTTAGGGTCTCAGCATCCATGTGTGGAAGATTACTATAACTCCAGCTACAGGGGATCTAAATGGTGAGAAAATGCACGCGCACAAGCACACACACACACACACTTAAAGATAAGAGCTGGAGAAATAAAATAGCTCATTGGTTAGACCACTGTCATGGATGCAGGTTGGATTCCCAGCACCCAACCATCTGTAACCCAAGTCCCAGTGGATCTGGCGCCCTCTTCTGGCCTCCACAGGCACTGCATGAATGTAGTGCACTAACATGTACAGGCAAAAGACCCACATGCATAAATAAATATAAAAACTTAAAGTAACAATCTGAAATGTAAGAAACATCTTCTAAGGCGGGGGAGGGGAAACAGTTGGATGGGTCGTTAGGAAAAGGCACTGGCCCATCAAATCTAATGACCTGACTCCAGGTCATAGTGGGAGGAGAAAACCAAAGAATGTTGTCCTCTACCTCTACATGTGTGTCCTGCCCTCACTCCATGCACACGTGCACACACAAATATTAACTTTAAAAATAATTAAAATTGAAGACATTAACTTGAAAAACAGAAGCCAAGCGTTTGTGCGTTCTGGAAAGAGAAAACTCAAGCCAGAAGGAAGACAGCAAACGAAGATCAAGGGTCTCGAGGTGAGGAAAAAAAACAAAAAACACTGCACTCAGAAGGCAGAGCCAGGTGGAGGTGTCTGAGTTCAAACTAGCCTGGTCTACACAGAGAGCTCCAGACCAGCCATGGCTTCACAGAGAAACTCTGCCTCAAAACAAAAACTCCCAGACTCCCGGCCAGTCCCTGCACAGTCAAGTGGGACTCCAGACCTGGGCAGATATCGACAGCAAGCAGCCCGACACCCCTACCTCAAGGTCAGGGGTCTCAGGCTCCCCGAGGCCCCCGCTCACGGAAGGAAGAGGTGAGTGAAGGAGTTGCCGGCCTCTCAGGGACTCCGCAAAGACTGTTTCTGGGAAGAAGGGTCCCAGCTCTACTTTGTCAGACTTGGGGGACAGGAGGTCACAGGCTGTGCTTGGCAACAAGGGTTGCTGGAGTTCCTGTAAGCTGGAGTTGTCCATGGCTAGGAGAGGGGCGTGCCGTGGGTAGAGGGGTTCCTGGAAACAAAGGGAAAAAATTCAAATTCCAAAAGTCTTGTCTTATCCATCGCCCCCTGGCTATTGGCTTCGGAGAGGTGAGCGAGCTCAAGGCTCCTCAGATTCATTTTACAGATGATAGAAAAACAGACTGGAGAATAAAAAAGGTTTGTCTAACTCACAGAGAATTCAGGGTCCCTGTCAATCGATTCTGGATTCTCTCAATTATATACCTGTTGCACAGTCACTATAAACCATGTCTTACACACTTGTTTGTCCTGCGAGCCCTCTCCACACACATACACACACCACCCCCCCCAGGCTCACATGCCCTAACCACCCATCCAGGCCCACACCCTTCCTCTTATAATACGCTCATCCATCGCCTACCAGTGACCCAGGAACTCCACCCTAGTGCACACACACCTAGCCCTCACACTCAGTTCCCAAGGCCGCTGTCATCCTGCCTGTCTCCAGGTTAGCCCACCCACACCCACACCGTCATCCACCAAAGGTCTCCTTGAGCACTTGCTACGAATGACAGCGGCTCCCCTCAGAAATACGTCTGAGGTCGACAACGTTCCTAAGTATCCTTAAGTACCCCTGGGCCTCCTGGCACAAACACCCTTGCAGCATCTGAAAATGCAAACACCCGCAACATGCAGAAACCCCCACACCCACCCACCACAGCCACGACTCTCAGCTCTTCCATTTCACACCTATCCAACTCAACCCGTGCGGTACCTTATCCCCTTTCCACGGCGCCCACGATGCCACACATCTCCCCCACTGGCCTGTCGCCTTAGCCCACCTGGCTCATTAACGCCTCCACCCCCAAGGCCAGCATATGTACTGTTCACACCCAACCAGATCCTTCTCCTTCTACTATCCCCTGCCCCGGGTCATATCACACCTAGCCAAAGGTTCACCCCGTGCCCTTCCTCGCCCCCGCAACGCCAGGACCCCGAGGGAGGAGCAATGTCCCCATCTCAGCGTTCACGGTCAGGCCCCCAGCATCCTTGGGTCTCTCAGGACGCCCACCTTGCCCTGCCGCCCAGAGATGAGCAAACCTGAACCCTGCGATCGGGTGTCCGGAGTACTCGGCGCGGGGTCTGAGAGCCGCGCTGTGGTTGGGTCTCTGCGCCCCAGCCCCGCAGCGCCGGGGAGGGGAGAGGCGGGGCCACACTTCCAGACTCCGCCCCTCCGCTGCGCCCGGGAGGGGGCCTTGAAGGCGGATTCCTCTGACGCCCAGGTCTCAGAGAGCGCAGTTTTTTTCTCCTTCGTGAGCCCAGACTCCAACCTGTTGGATAATCAAGCAACCCCTTGATTATCCAGGTCTTTCCTGGCTGCACCCCACCTCCCTCACCCCTTCAAAATGTGGCCTGATAACAACCAATAATAATAATAACGGTAACGTGAACTCAGCTTTGTGCTTTGTTCTAGTTGCTTTAAACACACACAGCCGCAGAACAATTCTAAGAAGCACTGTGAATGGCGGTCTTTTCACGGCAGCAAGGAGCACAGAGAACTGAACACAGCTTGTTCATGAGTGGGAACGCTACCCCAGGCCCTGTGTTGGGTTCTTTACCTTCAATAGCGCATCCATCCCCTCAGCAACTCTGTTCCCCCCCACACACCCCGCTTTGCTCCCGTGACGAGGTAAGCAACTGAAACCAGCAGACTATAACCCAAGGCAGAATTCCTCGCTGACCCCAGGGGAAGGGAAGTAGCCATACTAGGAAAGTTGAGTGAAGCTTCCCAAGAATGGAGGCCGAGGATGATCCGGGACGGGATGCTATGAGCATCCTTTAGCGATGCAGGTGTGGTCCGTGATTCTGGGTTAGACTCTCCAAACATAGGTCCTTTGCAGGTAATTCAGGGTACTTGATAGGCTTCACCTCTCTGAATCTGTATGTGTTCACCCAAAAACTCAGGACATATGCCCAGCTTCCTAGATGTGATGACATACATATTTTATTCTTTGATTTTTTTTTCCATTCCATTTATTTATTTATTTATTGTGGTGCTTCTACAGCAAGCATGTGTAGAAGTCAGGGGGCAACTTGTAGGAATTAGTTCTTTTCTTCCACCAGGTGGGTTCCTGGGCTGGAACTCCGATCATCAGGCCTTTAGCAGCAAGCTCCCTTTCCCGCTGAGTCATTCCAGCAGTCCAACATATGGATTTAACTTAGATGTGGCAACAAATACCCACACATTTACCCAAAGCCTGGCAAAGTAAACACGGAGAACATGTGTAATGTGTTTATCGATGTTATTATTCCTAATTGGTGTCCATTTAATTGACAAAGAACTCTCCTGGCCCTCCAAGCCACTTCCTCTTCCAGGGAGCCCACCCAGCTTGCACTGCCTCCTTTCCATCCGGACAGGCAGGAGGATTCCCCTGCCTCATGTAGGGCCGAGGACTTCCCTAGCTCTAGGGTGCCAGGGCACTGTGCCAAGAGTCCAGACGCTCAAGCTGGCACGGGCCCCACTCCCAGGGAGAGCAGATGGCGTCTGGGAGTGAGTGCACTTGGCTCAGCCTGAGTTTCTGGCGGGGAGACCCATGGGAGGGGTAATGCCAGGGGGCAGGGAGCAGGATGGTTTCTGCCAGAAGGGATTCACTGGTTCCTTTCTCTTGCTCTAGTTGTCATTTGCACCAGGCAAGAACTGCCAGCGTGTTCCATTTGTGTGTTGCTCCTGACTGTTCCCATTAGTATCATCTCCCACGGGGCTGGGTTTGTTCTCTTTTGTTCATGGCGGTGCCTCGGGCATGAATCAGTGCTTGTCATGAAGTGGGCCTTATTTGAGGCTCATGGGATGAGAGAATGAATTCCTACCAGCCTCGGTTTTCCATCAGATCACTGAGCTCAGGGACATCCCCACCCTCCTCTTGCCATTCCAGAGACTCGTTCCTGTCAAGTTAGAGCCATGGCCACCATCATCAGCCTTGTAGAGTCTCCCTAACCTGCTCTTCCAGAAGACCAGGAAAGGCCAGGGGTCTTTTTTCTTATTTTTGTGACAGGTCTAGAATGTGCATTATGTGTGTGTATGGTGCTAGAGAATCTAGGACCTCCTGCACACTGGTAGGCAACTGTGCCCTAGCCATATCCTTAGCCCCTCACTGGGGGATTCTAGGCAGGGGCTCTACCACTGAGCCACACCCCAGCCCCTCACTGGGGGATTCTAGGCAGGGGCTCTACCACTGAGCCACGCCCCCTAACCCTTCACTGTGTATTCTATGGTTCCTAACATGATGATCAAACAAATGCAGCGTCACATCTATGCTTTTCCTGCTGCACTGATGGTGGCGGTCCTTCTGTATGCTGTTAATATACGCTTCTTTTATTGGTTGATGACTAAAACACTGATTGGCCAGTAGCCAAGCAGAAGTATAGGCGGAGCTACCAGATGAGGAGAATTCTGGGGAGAGGAGGCAGAGGGGGCCTTGAGAGAGACTCCATGTAGCTACGGGGAGGATAGGATGCACCGGATATTCTCTGGTAAGATAAGGTCATGAAGAAGCCCATAGAACAATAGTTATGGGCCAGTAAGAAGCAGACCGAAGGCATGGCAGCAGGTACCTGGAGAAGCAGCTGAGAGATGCCACCTCTTGATCCACAGGTAGGAGTCAGAAAACGCTACCTCAAAATGGCACAGTGACATGTTTTCTCCGTGCAGGCCACATTTCCTAATCTTTCCCCAACAGCTACCAACTGGGGGCCAAGTGTTCAAATGCTTGAGAGAAAACACCACACATATTTTCATTCCTTCCCAATTTTAAGTTTCTTAGCTAGGTATGGGGGAGCACACCTTTAATCCTAGCACTGGGGAGGCAGAGGCAGGGGGATCTCTCAGAGTACAAGGCCAGCCTGGTCTTCATAGTGAGTTCTAGGACAGCCAGAGGTAGATAGAGAGAAACGCTCTCTCTATATATTTATGTATGCATGTCTATGTAAAATTTTATGTGTATGTGTCTGAGTGTAAGTTACAGAGGGTACTGTGGTAGCTTTCCTGGCTCTGAAGTTACTGGCAGGTGTAGGCTGCTGGACATGGGTGCCGGAAACTGAACTCAGGTCCTCTGGAAGAGCAGCAAACACTCTTAACAACTGAGTCCTCTCTCCAGCCTACGTCCTGGTTTTGATGTGTCTTCGTCCTGCACGGACATTTCCATTCTGAGCTATACAACCTATCTGCAACCTCCACTACCCCCACACCTTGTCTTCCTTTCATATCAGGTATATTCAGTTTATGAAACTCATTAAGATGTTCGCTTTTTACTTGTGTGCTTTTCTGTATACGATGCTTCGAAAATGTTATTTTTGACAAGGGTGGTTTAAATCTGTTTCCATGATGAGTCACGGAGTGGGAAAAAAAAGCAAGGTGTGAAGCCACGGTACAGCTGCCATGGAAAACAATATGGCTTTTCCTCTGAAATGTTAAAACAGAATTACATGGTTCTGAAACCCCACTTCCAGTGAAATCCCAGAAGAACTGAAAAAGGAGGCTTTTAAAGGGGTTGCATGTCCACAGCAGTAGCCAAAAGGCTGGGGCAACAGAAATGTTATCTACCTGGATAAAATGTGGTGTATAGTTACAATGAATGCACTGTGGCTTCCAAAGGAGGGGAATTCTGACACATGCTTACAATACGGATGAGCCTGTGCGCCAATATCACTGAATAAATGCAATAAGTCAATACAAGAGATACTGGCCCGGTAGTAGTGGTGCACGGCTTTAATCCCAGCACTCGGGAGGTAGAGGCAGGCAGATGGCTGTAAGTTGGAGACCAGCCTGGTCTACAGAGCGAGTTCCAGGACAGCCTCCAGAACAACACAGAGACACCCTGTCTCGGGAGGTGTAGGGGTGGGGGAGAGACCCTGTCTCAAACGACAACAAAACACTCTTCCTGTTCAGGACCACAAGTCAGAGTGGAGCCCACTGATATCTAATGGGCACCTCAAGGGACTCCCATTCTGGGCCTCTCTGTGTTATAGCTGGAGGGGGAAAAAAGGGTAAAAGGTTTCCATATTCCGACTAAAGAAATTAGGAAGTATGCGTTTGCTCCCCGAGTAATCTCAAGTACTAGTTCAACTTCTTTTGCAGAGCTACTGTAAAGTTCATTCTTAACTGCTGATTTTGAACAAAGAGGGTGACATAAGGATAAATGAAGAGCTGCCTCTCTAGAGTGCTTGCTGCTCTTCCAAAAGACAGCAATTCAATTCCCAGCATTCTGTAACGCCAGCTCCAGGGAAACGGTGGCCCTCTTCTGGCTTCCCCAAGGACTCCACATATGTGACATTCACAAATAATAAAAATAAATCCTATAAAAAGAAAGGAAGACGCCCTTTTGAAAAAAAAAAAAAAACCTAGAGACAAAAGAGACAAAGGTTACAACTTAAAACATTTTATGATGAGTATGGTGGCACTTGAGAGCCTGAGGCAGGAGGATTGCTGCAAGCTCCAAGCCAGCCTGGGTTACTGAATGAGTTCTAAGGGAATTCACTTTGTAGACCAGGCTGGCCTCAAACTCACAAGAGCTCTGCCTGCCTCTGCCTCCTAAATACTGGGATTAAAGGCATGTGTCACCACCGCCTGGCTCTTGCTTTTATTTTTTTGGGGGAGGGGGGATGTTTTGCGCGTACATCCATGCACCAGATGCATGCAATGCCTGCCAAGGCTGAAAGAGGGTATCTATCTGGTCTCTGGAGATGGAGTTACAGGCAGTAATAGTTGCTGAGAAGTGAACTTGAGTCCTATGTTAACAGCTGCTTATTATTATTATTTAAAGAAAGCAAACAGCATCCGGGCGGTTGTGGTGCACACCTTTAATCCCATAACTCTGGAGGCAGAGGCAGGGAGATCTCTGTGAGTTCGAGGCCAGCCTGGTCTATAGAGCGAGTTCCAGGACAGCCAGCGCTACACAGAGAAACCTTGTCTCCAACCGCCCCCCCACACAACACACAAAAGAAAGCAAACAGCATCAATAGATTCACTTATTGTGTGAAGACGATGCAGAGAGGAAACAGTTGGCGCTCAAACTTCCTCAGCTGCAGTCTAGAAGGAGCTGCCTAGCCAAACCCCCACTCTGTGTGCACAGTCGCGGAAGCCAGACCGAGGCAGTTTTCCCAAAATGGACCGAGCGAAGGTGTCCATCACAACTACGCCCCGCCCCCAGGGGGCAGCTATAGCGCCAATCATCAGCGCGCAGGGCGGGCACCAGGGGAGGAGCCTGCTGTTGCCCCGAGCAACTGCTAGGGCACCGGAGGAGAGCACAGCTGCGGTTGTCCCCGGCACAGACCTCCCTCCGCCCGGAAGGGCCCGGGCGAGTCGCGAGACTAGCCTCGACGGCGCCCGCAAAGAGGAGGAGGCTAGGCCCGTGACCACCTTCCCCGCGGCAGCTTTCGTTCCTAACGGTCGAGTACGCGGAGGTAGGAATGACGCATGCGCTACGCCTAGGGGTGGGGCTAAACGCCCCTGCACCCGTGACGCATGCGCCTTTTGAAGCTGGGCTGATCTACCGCGAAGAGGCGGGGCCTTGCGCGTGTGGGCGGGGCCACGCCTCCAGGGGCGGGGCTTCCTAAGGGTCTGAGGCTCGGTGGTTTATCTGTGCAGGCTCCCCGCACCTCGGAGTATCTTCCCTGTTTTTCTTGGGCTTTGCAGGGGAGGTGGCTTGTGGCGGTGGTGAAGACCTCATTGTCAGCGGGTTGATGGAATTAGCTTGGGATCACAACACCGCTCTTTACTTGATGGACTTCAGTTTTTCCAGCCGTCCGATGGAAATAATAATGCACTTAGCTCACAGGGTTGTGATTGAATTTTTCCCATCCTAGAACCATGGCTGAAGTGCACGTGATCGGGCAGATCATAGGGGCCACCGGTTTCTCAGAAAGCAGCCTCTTCTGCAAGTGGGGCATCCACACAGGTACCCTCCCCAGGCCTGGTTCATCTCTCAACCAGTACCCAAGTCCCCTCCCCCGGCCTAAGTCCCCGCCTCCACTCTCCAGTGAGCTCCTGGCTGAGACCGATCCGTCTGCTTTTTTTTTTTTTTTTTTTTTTTTTTTTTTTTTTAAATCCTTTTTCTCAGGTTATCCCACTCTCTGAAAACCCAACCCCTAAGGATAGGGGGTCGCTAGGTGGAACACATGCACTCACTTCCAGCCCTCAGGCCAGTCTATAAGCTGGGTGTGATGTTGCCGGAATTAAAGCCGTGCACCACTACTGCCCAGACAAGCTAGGGAAAAGTAACTTGCCTAACTGAGGTTGCACAGATGAAGGAGATAAGATTAGGGGCTGGCGGTTGCAGCTTGTTGCTAGAGAGCTCTTGCCTAGCATATTCAGTGCCTTGGGTTCATCCCCAACAGTGCAAACTACACAATACGTTTGTGAATAGTACCGGGGTTTATTTATTTACTGGTTTCTGGGACAGGGTTTCTATGTGTAGCCCTGGCTGTCCTGGCAGCGTCTTACACTTTAGGACAGGCTGGTCTTGAACTCACCGAGATCCGCCTGCCTCTGCCTTCTGAGTTCAAGAATCAAAGGCGTGCGCCACCACTGCCCAGCGAATAGTGCCAAGATTTATGCTCTTTTGCGTGTTCTCTATCTCCCTCCAGTTTTCCTTTAGAGATGGGACCCACACTTTATTTAGCCGGCGCTGACCTGCAACTTAACAGGCAGCCCAGGGAAGCCTCCGACAAGCTCACTCCCAAGTGCTGGATTGCACGCGTACACTTCTGGTGCCACGATCTGAGTCCAGATGTTTGTAGAGTCCACACTGTGTAACTCCCCCCCCCAGAGGGAAACACGTCACGGGTGGGGTTCCCCTCCTGCGGGCGGCTACTCACCTACCCTTTATGTCCTGGTTCTCATTACAGGGGCTGCATGGAAGCTCTTGTCAGGTGTGCGGGAGGGCCAGACGCAGGTAGACACGCCTCAGATAGGGGATATGGCTTACTGGTCCCACCCCATTGACCTGCACTTTGCCACCAAAGGTCTCCAAGGTGGGTATAGGATGAGAGGGATGGAGCCATGGTTGTTCCTGCCCCTCATACTTTGTGAGCCCCTTTCCTGGCCCTCTAGAGAGGTGGATCTGAGGCCTGACCTGAGCAATAGCTAACCCTAGGCCCATGGAATGTGACAGAAGTTGCAGTGGAGGAGATATCAGGAAGTAGGGGTCAAGTGGGAGGGGGGCTGCCTTCCGGTAAAGGGCGACGAGGAGGCTGGGAGGGGTAAAGAGAGCTAGAAGGGGAGGAGAGGGGCAGGAAATGGGCCCGTTGCCTTTGCTCACAAGAGGAGAGGCCCTGCTCAAAGGGGAAGTGAGTGTACGAGGGAGGAGGGCATCGCATCAGCACAGCTTTTCTGGTTAAAGCGTGGCAGATTCTGGGAAACAGCCTGGGCATTTCAGCAATATCAGTACTGTTGACACTAGTCTATGCCTGTCCAGCTTGAGCAGGGACAAACCCAGTCAAGGCAGGACTCCATGTCCTGTCTTCAGGTGGAAGATAGATCAGTTTCCAGATGGGGTCCAGCACAGAGGCCGTGGGAACCCAGAAGTCTCTGGGTAGTCTCATGATCCGCTAGGGCAGAGGGCCTTTGGAGTGGACAAGAAGAGATGGATGGACCTGATTTTGCTTTTGAACACTCTCACTGACTTCTGGGCAGGTGATATGTTATAGGGCGAGGCAAAGAAATAAACCTTCATCTCTTCAGGCTTGGCCTTAGACTGGCTTCCCCGATTTCTTTCTCCTTAGTCCCCCATTCTGCTGGCCAGCAGGCCCTGTGGGCTCTAAAACCCCACTGAAATACACCCTAACTTCTATTTCTCACCCTCTTCCTGGCCTGTGCCCACTCTGTCTTCTCTTACCTGGACCATTCTTTCAAGCCTGGCCACAGGCTTTGCACCCCACGTGCAGCTAGTAGGGGCCTGGGAGGACTATGTCCTTTGTCTGTACAGAATCTTCTAGCTGTTCTCCTTTTATTCAGGATAAAAGCGGGAGTCTTCCCTGCTGTCACATGGTCCTGTGTAATCTGTCTGACCCCTCTGACCTTTCTCCCACTGGCCCCAGAGGCTGGCTCTGGCCTGAGGACTTTTGCATTGGCTGGGACCTCTTTTATCACCTAGGGGCCTGCTTGACCCACCCCCTTTAAGATTTGTGTATGTGTAGCCTCCTGATTGGTCGGTCTGCTTTTCAGATAGAGACCCTGAACATAGTCCAGGCTAGCCTGGACCCTCAGCATCTCAAGTATGCTGGAAGTTTACTCTTCCAGATAATGTCTTCCTAGATAGCCCTGGTTGTCCTAGAACTCATTATTTAGACCAGGCTAGCCTTGAACTTTCAGGAATCCTTTTGCTTTTACCTCCCAAGTGCTGGCATGACAACCATAGGCTGTGGTGCTAGGCGCCAAGTGTCACCTTCTTAGCAAAGTTTCCTTTACTCCCCCCTCTTCCCAAACTACATCTCCACCCCTCCCTCCCTGGCGTTATTTTCCTCCACAGCAGTTATCACCATCCGACATACCCTGTAATTTACTTATTTACTATGTTGGTTGTCTAGGATGTCAGCTGCACGGGGCAGGAATTTTTGTCTGCTGTGTTCATCACCGCTACCGTGTCCCCAGCTTCTAGAACAGGGCCCAACAGGGAGGGCTTAGGGTAGAGGGGGAGATGGGCTGAATCTCCAAGTGCTTTGACTGGCAGACTAGGAAGCTCGGCTGTGCTTTGAGGACACTAGAAATGCAATGAAGAGAGACGTGCTTTGCGCCGGGCAACGAGGCAGGTCCCTGAGGAGAGAGGCTGAGAGGGGCCTAAGTTGAGGTGCTGACCTGGGGGCTGGGAGGGCAGTAGGCTGTTCATACTCAAGAGGTTGGGCCTTACCGTGGCACAGGGGAGCCGCGGGACAGTTTTGAATAGAGGGTAATGTGAATTTATATAGAGCCCTGTGACTACCATGTGGGGTGGATGGGGGATGGGAACCCAGAGAGGAAATGTAGGCAATAATCAAAGGCAAAAGGACTGGGCTAAGGTCTCTGATGGTTTCTAGGAGATGGGAACCCAGGAGCACGTGACTACCTCCCTTCATCTCTCTTTTGTCTAACCCCTCTTGTCCTGCAGGTTGGCCTCGACTCCATCTCCAGGTGTGGTCCCAGGACAGCTTTGGCCGCTGCCAGCTTGCTGGCTATGGCTTTTGCCATGTGCCTAGCAGCCCAGGCACCCACCAGCTGGACTGCCCTACATGGAGGCCCCTGGGCAGTTGGCGGGAACAGCTGGCGCGGGCCTTCGTGGGTGGTGGGCCACAGCTGCTGCACGCGGACACCATCTACAGTGGGGCCGACCGCTATCGCCTGCACACGGCCGCGGGTGGCACGGTGCACCTTGCTATCGGCCTGCTGTTACGCCACTTTGATCGCTATGGTGTGGAGTGTTGAGGGACTTCACGGCCACCACGGCCACTAGTCACAGTATGGCACGGCGATCAAAAACATGGACTATGGATACTGCCAGTCTTGACCTCGGCCAAGTCAGGGCCTCTCTGTCCCACCTAGGACTGCAAGGCCAGGATCTTCCCTGAGGCCCATGCTCCACTGAATTACTGGCTAGTAAGTTTATGGGTTACAGGGACTCAAGAACTGGCTGTTGGGCTTGTGGGAGGCACTTAATAAAAGTTCGCTGTTTTCCTGGATATGGTGCCTCCTTGTACCTGCCGCGCAGCTCTCAGATGACCTGTCTCCTCGACAACTTCCTCCGTAGACCCAAAGCCTGTCCCAGCCTTTCACTTTCTCCATCCTAGGTCCCCACTTCCAATAGCATCTCTGGGACCCCAATTTCTCATGAAGGCCCCATTTTCCCATTGACCCTTCATCAACCCCCAAGGCTACGGGGGCTCTTTGGCCACCCGCTTTGGTAGCGCTCCGCCGCCAGGAGGCAGCACCCTGGAGGTGGGGCGGGGCCGGGGTGCCTGCCCCATCCCGCAGGGCTGAACGGACCCCCCTCGGAGCCCGCCCACGCTAGAAGTAGACGGTGGCCCCCCCATACCCTCCCCCTGGGGCTGCCCCCGCCCCGCGCGCGCTTCCTGGGTGGGGCCGGGGCGGCTTCAAAACCCCCGCCGCCCCAGCCGGTCCCCGCCGCCGCCGCCCTTCGCGCCCCAGGCCGTCCCCCTCCTCCTCCCGCCGCGGATCCTCCAGACAGCAAGGCCCCCGGCCGGGGCAGGGGGGGACGCCCCTTCGGGGCACCCCCGGCTCTGAGCCGTCCGCAGAGCCGGTCTCAGCCTGAGCCGGCAAAGGAGCAGGCGAGGAGTCGTCCGAGGCCCCAGAATCTGAGTGGAGCCGCCGCCGCCGCCACTGCGGGAAGGAGGGGGAGGAGAGGTGGGAGGAGGGACGAGCTGGTTGGGAGAAGAGGAAAAAAAAGTTTTGAGACTTTTCCGCTGCTACTGTGAGCCGGAGTCGCGGGGACCGCTTGGCGCTGCGCTGTCCCGCAGAGAGGCAGGACCTAGGAACTCCAGACCTCCCTGCTCACCGTCGTAGACGCTCGCTCGCTGCACGGCGTTCCTCAGACGCCCCCATTCCGGACCAGCCCTTGGGAGCCGCAAGCCCCGCCTCCCGCGAAGACTTCACCCCAAAGCTGGGGCGCACCCCTTGCACGCCGCCCTCCCCCCAGCCTGCCTCCGGAGTCCCCCGCATCCCAGGACCCTCTCTCCCCTGGGAGGCCGATCTCCCTCAGACCTACTGGCAGTAGCTCCCCTATTTAAGAACACCCACTTTTTGGCCCCAGAGAACGCTCATCTCGATTTTTGCCCCCGGTGGCATACCGAGACATCCTGTGTCAGAGCCCCGCCGCGACTCCTGCTGCTTTCTCCCTCAACCTCAAATTATTCAGGACTCTCTCCTACCTTTCCTTGGGAGACCCCCCCCCCCACAAAGCCCTGCAGGGGCGGGGCCTCCGCATCCCACCTTTGCCCGGGGATCGCGCTCTCCGCATTGCCGCGGGGCGCCGCCTCTCCCATGCCGCCCTCGGGGCTGCGGCTGCTGCCGCTTCTGCTCCCGCTCCCTTGGCTTCTAGTGCTGACTCCCGGGAGGCCAGCCGTGGGACTCTCCACCTGCAAGACCATCGACATGGAGCTGGTGAAGCGGAAGCGCATCGAAGCCATCCGTGGCCAGATCCTGTCCAAACTACGGCTCGCCAGTCCCCCGAGCCAGGGGGAGGTGCCGCCCGGCCCGCTGCCCGAGGCCGTGCTCGCTTTGTACAACAGCACCCGCGACCGGGTAGCAGGCGAGAGTGCAGACCCGGAGCCTGAGCCCGAGGCGGACTACTACGCCAAAGAGGTCACCCGCGTGCTAATGGTGGACCGCAGCAACCGTGAGCTCCGAGGGGCCGGGGAGCCGGGAGGGAGCCCGCAGGGAGCCCGCAGGGGGCGCCGGAGTGCAGGGGTCACTGGGAGGAAATTATCAGCAGAGGAAACTGGCTGGAGGGACTCCTGGGGGCGCCGGGAACGAGTGTGTGGATATCCCTACTAAGGTGTCTGGTCTTGGAGGGGAAGAGAGACAGCCAGAGTGAACCTCTTCTAGTGGACAGCAAGATCGTGGGGGAGAGTCCCCTCGGCATTTGGCAGATTTTGTTGCTTTAAAATTCCACCCACGGTGCTTAAAAATGCAGGGCTCATTGGGTACCCTTTGCAGAAAGGTAGAGCCCGGCCCAAGAGAATGGAAGACACTCAGCATTTGGGAAAGGATGGGGCAGCTTGTAGAGCTGACGCTAGATCGGATCGTGAGATGGAGAGAAGAGACTCAAGGACAGGAAAACTAGGGGACGAGAACCCTAGAACTGCCAGATAAACTCAAGTGGGCTCACTTCCAGAAAGTGCTAGGAGCACGCTGGATAGGGCATCTGTGGAGTCACCCACCGTGGGGCTGCAAGTGATAAATTAACTGAAAAAGGAAAGGGCAGCAAAGTTGAGAAAAGGAAGCTAAAGAAGAGGAGCGGAGAGGGTGCGGAAAACGAGCCCGGAGGTGTTTTGCTTAGGGACGTAAAAGAGCGCGCGAGCGGGCGGGCGGAGCCCAGTAGAGGAAGCGAGCGAGTCCCTAAGAAATCTAGAATACTGGGTCATTGGAAAGGAGTTATAAAAGAGGGGAGACCGGCGTGGGAAGAAGGTGGCCCCGCGGGGCGGGCGGAGCAGGGATACCGTGCCATGCATGCGTGAGTGGTGAGCGCTACTCGGCCTGGACGGGGTAGGGAGTGGCTGAGCCCCAGGACTCGAGCCCTAGGGGAGCGGCTAGCGGCAGGGGGAGAGCCAGTCTATAAAACACAAGTGAGAAAACTGAGTCAGTAAGGGCGAGGAAGCCCCACGTGGGTGCCACGCGCGTGGGGAGGAGCCTGCGCTTCCTGAGGGGGTAAGAGGACCCCACAGAGCTGGACCCTGGCAGGCTGTACCCCAGAGTCCCAGTTCCTCCTAGGGGACCTGGGGAAAACCCAGCGTCCGGCCGCCTCGCCCTCCTCCCTTCCCTTTCCTTCCCGTGCCCGGGATGGGGGAGGCGGGGATCGCGCGCGGAGTCTGGGGCGAGACGAGGCAGGTCCGGGTCCCGCCCTCCTCACCCCAGCAGTGGGCGGGGACTCGCGGCCCCGCCCTGTCGGCACCCACCCGGGACTCAGGCACCTTGCATGACCTGGGAGCTTTAGGGGTCAGTGGTCCCTCCAGGTTGCACATTGCCGTACCCAGTTGTGGATCTAGCCTAATGACACCCTCCCTGGCCACTACCTAATGTGACCCTTTGGAAGAAGGCCTTCCCTCTCTCTTGAGACTGTATTTCTTCTCAAACGCATTTATCTCTTCCGGCGTTTGCCTCCCCATTTCCGTGTCTTCCCTCCCTCGTACCTACTCATCTCTGTGTCACTGCACCTTCCTCTGTGACACCCATAATCCTTCCTGCCTCCTATCTCTCCCCTCTCTGTTACCCCAGCTAAGATGCTACCTCTTCCTTTGAGGTTTGCTGAGAAACAACTGGACCAAGATAGGGCTCTTAGAAAAAAAGGAGGCACAAGGAAGAGGCGTTTTCTGCCCTTCATCGATGTCTGGGACATCATCTCATTTCCACTGCAGGAAGCCAAAGGAAGTTGCCCTAGTTGATGAAAGAATTCAGGATCTCACCCCTTTATTCCTCCAACCCAAACACCTCTAGCCTAGGAAGCCCTCGAGTGAATGGGGCTCCCATCATTCAGTCATTCTTACCTAGAAATGCACTTCGCTGCTAACTGGCCCGGAACTGGGCTAAAGGAGGAAATAACCTATACTAGGACGTTGATGATGCACCGATAATACAAACATCACACTGACCAGGAAGTAGCAGAGTTTAGGGATTAAGATCACAGTCTGCCTGGCATAGTGGTCCATGGCTGTAATTCGAGCACCAGGGAGGTAGATTACTTCAAGAGCATCCTTGGATACACAGTGAGTTTAAGGATAGCCTAAGCTATGTGATGCTGTCTCTAGAAACAAAGTAATCAAACAAAATTAATCCCTGGAGCCAGGTGGCTTGCATCTTCTCATGTTGTGAAGTGTCAATATCACCTTTGTAAAGTGTTTTAAGTGACATCTTTACCCCTCACTGTATTCCTCTCACACCCTCTTTAAAAAAAAAAAAAACAGCAACAACAGAAAACAGGGTCTCAGTATATACACACAGGCTAGCCCCCCTCCCCCAAAGATCTTCCTGACTCGGCGTCCTAAGTACCCGTTGCAGACTTGCACTGGCTGACACGCATGTTACTGGTGTGTGTGTCACATCGTCGGGTTTTCTCCTGAGTCTCATCTGCTCCAGTGTTTCTCTATAAAGATCAACGGGACACAGCAGTAGAGCACTTTATAGGACTCATCACAAAGGGGCTGGGGGCGTGGTTCAGCTGTTGAGCTGCTGCTTAGAACCTGCCAGTTGAGGAGCTGTGGGTGTGGCTCAGTGCAGGAGCACCCAAGGCCAGGCAGCTGAGACTCCCTAATCCCCCAAATTATGCCCGTGTCCCTTACTCTACAACTTTGTTTTGTTTGGTTTGAGACTCACAGTCTCTTGTAGCCTGGGTGGGAGGGCCTTGGCCGCTGAATGCTTGAAGGAAACTTGACAGGTGATGCTCCATGGGATGGGGTGAGTAGCGCTAGCGGAGAGGAAGCAAACCCAGACAAGGAAAACGCTCCCTGCAACCCGAGGTTAGCTGGCCAAACCCACCAGTGGGGGCTGGCGGGATTGCTCAGTGGGTAAGAGCACTGGCTTCTCCAGAGGGTAGCCAGAGCCCACATGGCAGTTCACAGCCATCTGTAAGTCCAGTTCTACGGGGTTTTATACCCTCTTCTGGCTTCCACAGGCAGCAAGCGTGCATGTTGTACACAGAAAACACACCTATTCGCAAAATACAACTAAAAGTTAAAAAAGAAAAAAGTACCAAGTGTACCACCGACCTGGGCTCTCAGGGTCAGGGTTCACCTCCCGGGCTCGGAAGTGGGGTGCACCTGTTCCCCCTGTCCTTGGCACATACCTGATGCCTTTTCTGTCTGCTCCTCCCCTCCTAGCAATCTATGATAAAACCAAAGACATCCCACACAGTGTCTATATGTTCTTCAATACGTCAGACATTCGGGAAGCAGTGCCTGAACCCCCATTGCTGTCCCGGGCAGAGCTGCGTCTGCAGAGATTCAAGTCA